CCTGCCCTTAGGGTTTTTTGCAGATGAAGCCTTGCCTTTGGTTTGTCAGTGAGAACTATTGTGAAGCTCCAGAGGGCATTCAGCAGCAGCTTTGCAGGAAGCATTGACACAAGGTCCCAGGCACTCTCCCCCACTTATTGTTTTGGAACTGTCAGAAGATGGGCTGGGATGAGGAAGAAGAGAAACTGAGGTCCCCCCCGCCCCCCAACTCCCAGTTTGGCTGCTGAATGAAAGCAGGCACTTTATTTAGAAGTGAGTAGGGAGGGAGATGCAGCTTAGGGTTGACACCCTTCTGGTGCTTACCCATAAATATGAAATGGTGTTAGAACACCCGACACCAGAGAGCTTTCTGATTGGCTGTTGGTGATGTCATCTTGTCATTAATACTGGGCTCAGAAAATAAACTGATCCGCCTGTTTTCTTTTTCTTTCTTTCCCTCTTTTTTTGAAAAGCTGAAACGTCTAAAATCCATTTTGTAATCTAAAATGAGGCACTTCAGTCAGAGTGTTTTGAAAGAATATTCCATTTCTCATGTGTTCAGAGTCGCTTTGGCCTTCACTTGAGAGCCGCCATAATCAACCACAAGTATCCAGCCTGACTTGTCTTATTGCTTCAAAGTAAGGCAGGCACTTTTCAACACCTGGGCACCAACAGTTGCCATCTGCCCACATTAAGTGCTAATACAGTAGATGGGGATGCTTTCCTGTGTCAGCCTTTAAACGCTCAGAGTTCGGGTTGACACTTCTGGGGATAGGAGGGATGTGGAAGGGTAATGAAAAGTACTTTCTACAATTTTCTTAAGCCTTAATTTTATTTCTCTCTCTCTGATAACCCTGCAGTTAAATGTAAACTGGCCCGCTTTTCCACTTCATGCATGCTCATCTCATCATCTAATTACATGATGGTGTTTCAGCTGAGGGATCATACTTGTGGCATGTCCAGACTGTGTGTGTGTGCACACGTGTGTAAAACCCAAAAGCATTCTTGCTACGCAGGAGTGGAATTCTCAGAAAAGCCACTGCCCCAGCATCTCTTTGACTCCTGCATTGATTTGTGACCCTTGGAGGTCTGGGAAGGTTTAACAGTCCTTCATTCTCTCCTGGTTCTCTCTGATAGAAGGGTGGTATGCTGTGTTTCGATTAGCTGTTGGGAAGCATTTTTAGTAAATACAGCTCTATGTGTTTTTTAAAAAATGAAATCTAGAACTGTCCTTTAGGAGGGGAAGCCATGATTCTTTATCGTCATAAATTTTGGCTAGAATTATCTTATGGTTATGGAAATTAACTTGGCTTATGAAGAATCATTTAATAATGCCCTCCTTTGTCAATGTTTTCTTAGGGAGAATCTCCTAATATCATGAACAAATGTCTTATAAATTAATTCCTCTTTGCTAGAAACTGTTTCTTACTATGCAAGTGAACTTAGGGTTTACTTCATCACTGAAGAAATGGTTCTCCAAGGTTATTTTGTGCACGCCGTGGCTGTGTTGTTTAGATTCACAAAATGCAGAGCAAGCAGGTGTAACTGATTTCTACCATGCAGTTGTAGCTCTCCTTACAGGGAGATGTCACACTGCTTCTCAAAATTTCCCTCATTTTAGCAAGGTTAGAAACCACAGACTTAGTGGCCTTTGGGGTCAAAGGGAAAAGAAAAAGACAATGAGTCCCATTCATTCTTACAAGTTGTCGTTGTTGTTCAGTCGCTCAGTCGTGTCCAATTCTTTGCGACCCCAAGAATTCCAGCACGCCAGGCTTCCCTGTCCATCACCATCTCCCAGAGCTTGCTCAAACTTATGTCCATTGAGTCAGTGATGCCATCCAACCATCTCATCATCAGTTCAGTTCAGTTCAGTCACTCAGTCGTGTCCGACTCTTTGCAACCCCATGAATCGCAGCACGCCAGGTCTCCCTGTCTATCACCAACTCCCGGAGTTTACTAAAACTCAGGTCTATCGAGCCGGTGATGCCATCCAGCCATCTCATCCTCTGTCGTCCCCTTCTCCTCCTGCCCCCAATCCCTCCCAGCATCAGGCTCTTTTCCAGTGAGTCAACTCTTCACATGAGGTGGCCAAAGTATTGGAGTTTCAGCTTCAGCATCAGTCCTTCCAATGAACACCCAGGACTGATCTCCTTTAGGATGGACTGGCTGGTTGAATCTCCTTGCAGAGATAGTCTATTTCCCAGGTTAGAGCTCTGTCCCCGACAGGCTTTAATTCCCTGTGAGCTGAAACAAGAAGTGATAGAAACATGCAAAAGCCTCTCAGGAACAGATTTTTGAAAGAGACAAATCGCCCAAATCCGTATCCCGCTCAGCCCTGTTGCAAGGGCCCAGCTCCCTCCACTCGCTTGCTGCTGGATCATGTGACAGCTGTTTGCAGACTAAAGGACAGAAACCATCATTCAGAGCAGGAAACTTAATCCTGGGCAGGTGCAGTTTGAGTAACGACTCTGGGCCCCGGAGGTCGGCGTGGTTATGAGACCTAAGCTTTTGCAGATGGTCTGAGTGGGAGGAGTGAGATGCAGTGGTCCTTCTCCCACTGCAGCCCCCAGACCGCCCTCTCCTCCAGGCGGTGCTACCATTTCTCCAGACACCACTGAACTTTTGAACTCGAGTACAGTGCAGTGTTAAGGATGTTTGTTTTATAGGCTTCAGATAAAGCAGTAGCGGATTTTTAAGGAAACAGTAGACAGATGCATTTTCCTTTTTCCTTCAGTGATGTTAGTGATCTAATTTGAAGTCAGTGTTCAAGCAGCTTTTCTGTATGTGCTTTGGGTTGTCTTCGCCGCCCCCCCCCCCACCCCCCCAAAAAATATGCTTGTAGACAGGAACAAAAGCCGGATGTCGTACTGGAGCTTCTGAACAAGTGATCTGCGTTAGGGACAGCTGGGGTTTACACACCAGACTTTCCTCTGCAGGCTGAACGAGATCCTGTCCTGGGTTATGACTCCTTACTTTCAGACAGCCGCTGTGTTCACTCTTAAGTGTCCCTGCCGATACCACTCAGCCATAAAGAATGACATCTTGCAATTTGCAGCAACGTGGATGGACTTGGAGGGAAATCTGCTTAGTGAAATAAGTCAGAGACAAACACTGTGCATTATCACTTAGATGGGGAATCTGAAGAAAATTAGTGAATAAAGCAAAAACTGACTCACAGTTATAGAGAACAAATAGTGGCTAGGAGAAGGGAGCAAGAGAGGGGTAGGGGATTGAGGTACAAACCACCACACGTGAAATAAATAAGCTACAAGGATATATTGTACAGCACAGGGAATCGAGCCAATGTATTATAAGTGTACATAGAGTGTAATCTATAAAAATTTTGCATCACTATGTTGTACATCTGAAACTAATATTGTAAATCCACTATACCTCAACTTTAAAAAATGTCCCTCTGCCATTTTATTGGTATTTCATATCCATTACTAATGGCTGCTTTTCTAGTTCTATTGCTTGGAACTAATTGAGATTCCAGATGCAGAAGCATGCTGCACCGAAGGGCTTGCGCACTTGGAAAACAAACGGCAGTTAAAGAGAATCAGCAATCTTCCTTTTGAGGGGTTGGGGGGGTGGATACTGAAAACCCAAACAATTGTCAGGGGCTGTAGAAAGTATCAGATGTATTAACTTGTAGGGATAAGAGTAACATTTTCTCAGTTGCAACCTAATTTATTGAAAACTGTGATTTGGAGGAGAGTACAGAGTACTTGCTAAACTAATCCTCTTCTCCGAATAGCTCCCTTATTTCTTGTGGCTTGGCGACTAAAACTTAGAAATCCACAATTATACTGTATAGATGAGTCTTGCTCTATATTTAGCGTTTAATCTCCACTCCAGAACTGCATATGGCCAGGAGCACCCACTTAAGAACTAAAAATATAAGTTACCGCCTGCTCGCTCCTGAATTAGAATTGTACATAATTGCTCTGTGCTTGAAAAATCTCGCTTTGAGGAAAGGGTTCAAGATCAAGTTCGTGGGCAATCCCGAATATGAAGCCAAGCGTCACTTAGCCCCTGGGACAAAGCTAAGTAAGTACTTGTTGAACAACAACAACAAAATAACCAGAAAGAAGTCACACCTCTCATTGCTTAATCTGAAAGTGAACTGGTGTGAGTCCAGAAGCTCTGGAATTGTCTTAGAAGTAAACATCCATCATGAAATGGACATAGAATATTCAGAAGCAGTAACTGGTGGGCTCAGCTATAAGAACTGGTTTAAAAAAAGAAAAAGAAATTATGGTAAGTCCAGTGGTTTTCAAACCTGTCTGCTCATCAGAGTCATCCTGTGAACTCTTAACAAGCAGGCAAACTAAAAAACACCAATTCCCAGGTCTGTCCTCTAGAATCTCTCATGTGTAGCCAAGGAACCACTTTGTCCATAGATCAGAAATGCTGGGGATGAGTACGGAATCAGTGGATAGGAGGTGATCGAGGGTGTGTAAAACAGTAATGGTGACATTGCCAGTAGAGAGCAACAGAATCACACAGTCTTTTTGGTTTGTTTTAAAATTGCCTCAGCGGACATGTATGGAGCATGACACATTGCATCACAATACAATTGTGATAGAAGCACGCAAAGTAAGACTTACTGCTGCCGATGGGCACACAATCAGGTTTGTCTTGGACAGAATCGCATACTTCTTGCTCCTGTTAATGGACCTCTGTGCACCGTTACTATAGGAACCTAGAGGAGGAGACATAACCAACACCTGGATTTGAGGATGTCTTCACAGGGAGGTGATATTTAAACTGGCAGGCTGCAAAAGAGGAGGGGAATTTTTCCAAGAGTAGGAGGGCCCAAGGGGAGGTCAGGAAGGTGAAAGATCAAAGCGTGCACGAAGACCAGAAAGTAGGAAATGAACGCGCTGTGTCTGGGGAGTGGAGGTGAAGACAAGGCGTGGCTGGAGATGTCAATACCTTTGCTAGGCTAAAGCCTTTGGACTGGCCTCCAGGAGAGAGAAAGATGGGTGGGAATTGCCTCCAGCAGGAAGTAAGCTTTCTGAGGGTGGGGAAGCTTTCCTTCCAGAGGCCATTCTCATTCTTGGCAGCATGCAGTAGGCACTAGTAACACCCTCTGGTTAAGTAAAAGGCGTTTTGTGTATGCCTCATTAAGCAAAATAATCAGTTTCTCAGAGAATGCTCGTGTGCCTTATTTTTCTCCTTTTAATAAAGGCAAAAATAAATTAGGGGGATAAAAAATAATTAAGGGCAATCTGCTAGCTCTCCATTTTTCTCCCCCTTGGTAATTCTTTCATTCTTTCCATATCTCACTGTCGGATGACTTTCTCTCTCGACCCGAGCCTCCTGCTGTAACATGAAAGCGAGCATATCTTGTGACCCCTGCCCCCCCATCTTTAATACTGAGAGATCCTCACAGGTGCCTTGAGATGGAAAATGGCCTGCATCTGTGGGCTAGAGGTGCTGTTTCCAAAAGCTGTCTTTGTGCTTATTTTTGCTGCAGGTTTGTTTGTATCCTAGCCGAATATTCATGAGATAAAGAATGCTATTTTCCCCCTCCTTTGAGGATGCCAAATCCAGGTGAGGAGTAATGATCTTGGTGAATCTGAGCACTTGTCAATTTGAAAATGTTAGGGAAAACAAATGAAAGAGGCTGGAATTGTTTATATGCTATCATTCACTGATTGAAAGCTGCAAACATTTCTGCCTTCCTATACTTCTGAAGTTACGGATTGGAACCGAATAATAGACAACCTTCCAACATGAAACATTATCAAGCTTGAGGGTTTTTTTTTTATTGGGATTTTTGATATTTCATTGTTCTCTAGTTTGCCTTGGTCTTTGATCACTTATTCCTCTGACAAAATTTTGGTCATGTTGTTGCTTTCCTTTTTCCCCTAAGTGTATATGGTGCGATGGGAATTATTTCTCTCCTTTTTTCCTTTCTCTTACTAATTTTGTTGGTTACCCGAAAAAAAAAAAAAAAAAGTATTGGTCTAGACCTTAGATAAATATACCAGCCTGTTGTAAATATGCTTTTGTTTTCCCTTCAAATGTTTTCAGATTTCTTTTTGTGTTTATTCATAGTGAAGAATGCTAATTGTCAGTGAAAATGTAATAAAACCTGTTAATCTAAAATATTGGACTGAAGTTGATCTTTGCTTGGTAAACCTTTATCAGTGCTTTGAATTAACAGTCGTATGATACTGTGGTAGATAAAGTGGTGGTGGGTATTTAAAAATCCTAGAGTGTGAACTGTTTTCAAGTGTCCTCAAGTACTTGAAGTCTCCATTTCCATAGTAGTGCTTGATATGATAATTACATACGACTCTCCCGTGTTCATTAAAATATGAGCTGGAGGCTCTGCAGACAATTTGTTAGCTTCCCATAGGTTTGAGAGTAATAAAATTGCTTTGCTTTAAAGCATCTGTAATTCAAGACTTTCACTAATTCAAATAAGCTTTCCCTCCACTTTTTTTCCCAAGTAGGTAATGAGAGGAATTACTTTTAAAAATACCTCTGAGAAAATGAGGGTGGTCTCGCCATGCTGGGGAGGAGAAGTTATGGATTATCTTGGAAGGTAACTGTGATTGTTCTTATTGCCTTGGTTCTCAAAGGCTTGCAGTGTTTTAAAGGCGTGGTTGATAATGGTCTCTCACTCCCTTCCTGCAGTCAGTCTCTAGCCCTGTGTTTCCAAAAAGGATATATATTTTTCTAAAACCAAAATAAAAGTTTCCATTACATCAATAAGACAGATACTTTAAAAATGGGGGAGGGGGTTAAAAATGCATCCACACCATAGAAAGGTAGAAGCCACCCAAATGTCCATCAACAAAATGTATTCTGTACGTACAGTAGTAGAATGTTAGCCTTCAAGAGGAAATACTTTCTAACATTCCTTGTTATGACCTCTTAGATACACCCATCATTTAAAAGTGGACATTTAATTTCCAAATATAGGAGGTTTTTAAAAGAGTATCTTTGATATTAATTTCTCATTTAAGTACCTTTCTTCTCTGGGATCACCTTCTGTATTTTTTCCCGTCATCTAACTTTATTAAGGCTTTCAATGGCTAAGTCAAAGATCTCTCTTGGTAAATGTCACATTGCACTTGAAAATATGTGGGTTATTTTTAAATATCTTTTGATACTGATATGTAACGTAATTGCAGTTTATAATCGAGTTTATAGTGTCTGGGAACTTGAATAGAATTTGTATCCTGCTATTCTGTGAAAATTGTGTAAATCTTAATTATGTTGAACTTGTTTATGGTGCTTTTCAGGTGTACTGTATCCTTCTACTTTGCTGTACATTCATTCTATTAATTTTTGAGAGTTTGATATTGAAACCCCAACTAAAATTCTTAGTTTATCTACTTAAAAAATAATTGTAATATGTAGTGTAAACTTTGCTCTGTATTTTCCAAGTCTCCTGCAAATGTGTTAATACACTTCCATAATTAAAAAAGAAAAAAAAAAAGAAAAAGAAAAGGAAGAACGGTCTGACACATGCTACCACATGGATGAAGCTTGAGACCACTAGGCTTGTTGCAATAAACCAGGCAATAAACAAATACTGTATGATTCCACGTCAGTGAAGTACCTGGAGTGGTCAGACTCATAGAGATACAGCATGGTGGCTGCTGGCCGCCGGGGTGGAGGAATGCGAAGTGAGAGGGTACAGAGTTTGTTTTGTAAATGAAGAGTTGTGTGATTGATGGTGATGATGGTAGCCCAGCAGTGTAAAGGTACATGATGCTACCGAACTCTGCGTACACGTAAAAACAAATGTCATGGTAAATTTTGTTAAGTATTTTACCACAATTAAAATAAAAAAAAAAAAGAAAAGGAAAAAAAAAAGAAACCCTAGTGTTAGCTTTTAAAATTTACAAGTTAACATAAAACAGATCTGTCACTTTAACGGATTTTAATGTTTATACCAGCAATATAAATTTACAAATATATTTGTTACACTATCATCTAAAGAGCCCAGAGATGCCCAGTGTTATTTGTGGCAAATAATTGCATTTACTCTGAAAAACAAATCCAATTAGTATTTCTATTCTCATTTGTGGTATTTGTGTCTCTTGTTTACTTTTAAAACTTGGATTCCATCATAAGAAAAATAAAATTATTTTCTTTGTTTAAAATTGGGAATTCCCAGAACACATGAAAATTGATAAATGTCCCAAAACAAAATGGGATGAGCTAAATATTTCTTAGTTAATATGAATATGAAGCTCCTGGGGATTTAATGTCCACATTTTGATGGTGTGGGTCTGGGTTAAGACCTGAGATATTCTACATTTCACCTGCAGAGGTACTTTGAATATTTCTGCTTTCCCCAGGGCTAGTTTAGGATCCCTCCAAAGGCCTGCTAGTCACTTTTCATTCCTCATTCTGCTTTCTAACTTCCACAACAGTGAGGCTGTTGTCACCTGATCATCTTGTCCTTGTGGATTTCTGCCTTCTGAACTTCTCTTTTTTTCAGTAGGTTTTCAAGTGAGAGGAAGTGCGGTAGTGCTTCTATGTAACAGGAAGTTGCCAATCCCCTTTTCGTTTTTTATGGTTACGTGCTCATTGCTGGTGGGTCATCAGTATATATGAGCATTTCCCTTTGTACCTAAAGTTCATTTGAATAAAAATGCATTAAGCACGGAGTATGTGCTGGGTCTTACGCTTGTCTTCGAAGTTGACAGACTGGCTCCTGCCTTAAGGAAACAGGTCACATATGCCTTAGCTGGAAGAAGGAGGGAAAGCAGCTTAGGTGACTTCCTTGACCAGGCATGTTCTTAAGCTCTGTCTTACATTGTAGGTGACAAAAATTCTTCAGAACCAACTGTATCACTGTGCCACTCTGTCGACCTCAGATTTATCCCCAGGTTACCCAACTGTGTTTGGTTTTCCATCCCTATTGATACAATGATTAAAGAGCGAAGAATCACTCTGTCTTCATTTTCAAGCAATAGTACATGCTAGTTTTTGTGAAAGGTTTTTCTAAGTTGCATCCATGCTGCTTCATTTCAGACAATTACTTTTTTAATGGGGTAAGGGTTGGTGTGGATACACATGGGCTTATAGTGTTGTATGGAAAGCAGAATTCTGGTACGGCCCTGAAGATCCCCTCTCTAACTTCCCACTGCATATGCACCTTGAATAATCCCAGAAGTTGTGACTGTGATAGACTTTAAAAGTGATTTATGACATATTCGACCTTAACATAGGGTGATGATCCAGGTGAGCCTGACTTAGTCACGTTAGCTTATCATGAGCAGGGTTTTGTCTGGCTGATTGAAGAGAGCATAGGAAGGATTCAGCCAGCGCACCTTGCTGGCTTGAATTTGGAGGGGGTCACGTGGCAAGAAATGCAGACATTCTCGAAGATGCCTGCCAACAAGGACATGGGACCTCAGTCCTATAACTGCAAGGAACTGAATTCTTTCAGTGACAAGAATAAACTTGGAAGGGATTTTTTTTTCCCTTTAGCGCCTCTAGATGGAAACTCAGCCCAACCAGCTTGAGATTCCAGCCCTTTGATGTGCTAAGTAGAGAACCCAGCCATTATGCGTGCTGGACTTCTGACCTAAAGACCTCTGAGCTAATAAATGCTGCTTGTTTCAGCCACTGAGTTTGTGGTGGTTTATTACACAGGAATAGGAAACTAATACACATTGCACATTAGTGGGCAAATGTAATCAAAAGAGGGTAGAAGTCACAGCAGTCAACACAAGCTAATGCTGCTTAGCCGGCTGGACAATTAAGTCCAGTTACCTTATTCATGATGGGAATAAAAACTGACAGGTGGAGAGCATCAAACAGTGAGAAAAATATAGGTTTGAGAGAGGAGACCTGAGCAAGTCGTGGTTCTCTTACTTCCTAGCTGGGGTTTGGCACTTACTTCTCTCACTTAACGAAAAAACCTAGAGGTTGACCAGAGTACATCTCAGCACAATGTTAGCACAGGTTTATTTACTGAACAGTGAACTCCTTTCCTTAAATCCAGCTTAGCCCTGCCCCACTAGGTGTAGAATGAAGGTTGTCTGTTGCATTATTTTCTGGGTAGGTTTTTTTAAAAAGCAGCTGAAAATGTTCTGGGTTGTGTGTGTGTTTCTTTTTTTTTCCTTCCCCCCGGGGTTGTTTTTTTAAGGGCCAGTTAAAAAAGATGTCCTCATGTCAAAACAACAATCTCTATACCAAAAAGCTGCATCAAAATATATCATTTGGAAAAAGTAATGTCTAAAGTCTGCTCTATCTCTAACAAAACTAATGCCCATGAGGAGTTTTCATGTCCTTAAAATCCAGAGATTCCATTTTTGTATGTTTTAAAATAAATAGAAATTTATCTTTAAAATCTATTTTTGAAACCTAGGGTGATGCTAGCTAGAAGTATTTCTGTCTGGAACACCTGCTCATCAGAATTCATTCTTAGTATGTTTCTGCAGTCTTTGGAGGGAGGGGAGCATATAGTTATTTCTTATGCATTACTATGCATGTACTGGGTCCCTTGAACTTAGTCAAGGGTAGATCCATGGTTGTATTTTGAATGTTGGAGTTATAAAGGAAGTGGTCACTTGGAGCTTAGTTGCTAGTCTTTCTCCTACAAGATGATTCTTTTTTGAGCTTAAGGATCTTGTTCACATTGTAAATGAAAAATCTTGAGAAAATTAAGGATATTTGAGTTACATAGTATTTGGGGAATTGTTCAGTTGCTCAAGTTGTGTTCAACTCTTTGGGACCCCATGGATTGCAGCACTCCAGGCTTCCTTGTCCTTCACTGTCTCCCAGAGTTTGTTCAAACTCATGCCCATTTGAGTCAATGATGCCATCTACCAATCTCATCCTCTGTCATCCCCTTCTCCTCCTGCCCTCAATCTTTCCCAGCATCAAGGTCTTTTCCAGTCAGCTCTTCGCATCAGGTTGCCAAAGTATTGGAGCTTCAGCTTCAGCATCAGTCCTTCCAGTGAATGTTTAGGGTTGATTTCCTTTAGGATGGACTGGTTTGATTTGGGGAATGTGACATTTCAAAGGGAAAATGCAAATTCTTTTCCCTTTGGAGCTGCTTTCTCTGCTCTCAGCTAACTGCTGATTTTTGAAAATGGAACTGTCAGGCGAAAAACCCCAATAGCTCAACCACCAAAAAGATGTTAGAAAGGATCTCCCAGTCAGTCATGAGAAAGCGGGAAAAGGACCACATGTCCAACCACTGCCTGGATGCAGCGTGGAAACAAAGTACGGAAAACGAAGTTGCCTCCATTGGCTGTATTTAAAAATAAGAACTTTTGAGTTGCTCTCCAACAAATGTTAACACACACAAGACGACGACCAGAGGTGAACATGTCTGAACGGCAGCATCCATGACTCACTCCATCAGGTGTTACTGGAGCCTTTCATCCACCCAAGGACCATCCCCTCTGTCTCCTCTGCACAGATTTCCCCCCCATCCCCTCCCTCCACATCAGAGCAGATCTGTGATGTGAGATGTTTCTCCCTCCATCATTTTTAAACTTGTCCTAGCCTTCCCAGTCCTCACTGGACACTTGACTTGTGAAAACAACTTTTGTGGAGCTATTGTCCGCTCTG